TCGATCGGTTCAATAATAATTTCCAAATTTCTGTTCGTTATACAACTTGTATCGAGTTCCAAAAGGGTGTTAATTTCAACATTGACCGAACCAAGGCTTGAGAGTGTTCTTAGTAATTCACAGTCCATAAATGTTATTAAATTGTTATTCAATGCCAAATTTGTTAAATTCTTGTTGTTTATGAGTAAATTTCTCCCAATTTTTCTAATACCGTTGTTGCTTAGGTTCAAAAACTGCAGCTCCTCGAGATTCGAGAGTAATGGTGGGTTTAATTTTTGAATTCGATTTGAAGATAGATCCAGATTGGTCAGTTTTGACGTATTTTTAAAAAATTGCGGATCAAGTGACGCTGTACCATTGTGTGACATATCTAATTCACGCAAATCTGGAGTATTTCCAAGCAAGGAATAACTGGAATAACTTTTTCATTTAAAAAGTTGAACGGAAGTATTAGTTTCTCCAAATGTTTATTGTTTTTAAAAACATCCTGTCGTAATAGTATGAGATATGTTGAGTTTACGTAGATTGTCAAATGCTTCCAATCGAAAATGTTCACTTATAGTTTGATCCATGCACCCTGGGAAAGATAAACTCAAAATTTTACGTCGGTCGATACCTGGCGAATAATTGTTGCAATATAAAAACTAGCTCGTTCTACGGGCGAAATTTTTTCCTTTGGACACCCCACAAAGATATGAAACATGTTGAGTTTTATCGTCGTAGTAGCAATCACTTAACCAAAATGCCTCCACTCTGATTGGGGTCGTTGAAAAGCACACGATTATGATGAAAGATTTTGTAATGAACATCTCGACAGTGTAATTTACTATTAATTTTTCTGGTAAACGAATATTTTATATATTCAAGGCCTTTCTCCAACACCGCTTGAATCGAAACTAATCTAACAACGAAATCTTAAACAACTAAACGTACTTTGACGTTGATAAATATATAGACGTTCATTATCAATGATTTAAGCATATGTGCAGATATGAAATCTTACAATCAACTAGTTGACTAACGCTAGTTTCTTTATTTAAAACTGGATTAGTTTGTAAATTTTTGTACAAAATTATTGAGAATTTTTTTTGACAAATCTCCTACGAGAACAATCATATGTATCCATGGGAATAAAAGCGGCAATACAAAAACGGAATCTGAAGAACGTCACATAAAATTTTTTTTGTATGGGGTTACACTCAACCGGCTAAGCCTATGAAGAGACAAAATGCGAATTCCCCTCATCTGTGCCATCTTGTATTCCATAGTTGAACTCAATTTAGTTATAATGAATTGAATCGAAAAAGAGAAAAAAAACAACAACAGTAACATGGCTACATAGATCTGTTGACCAGTGAGATACGTATAGCAATGGAATGAAAGAATGAAGAAAGCGTATATGTGTATGTATGCATCAGCACGCATAGATGTACAGCTCTGTGTGGCCGTGCTATTGTTGTTGTTTTTTCACTTTTTCATTTCAATGCTACAGAATTAAATTCAGTTTTTGCATCTAATTCACACTAAAATCAGATGGCGCTCATTAGCGAGATTCGCAAAAAAAAGTCTCCAATCTCATACAAATATACACCGGCTGGTTACACTATGTGAAAAAAAAAATTATGTGACGTTCTTCAGAGATATTATCTTCTTTAAAATTCTCATATGGTTACTATCACTTCTCATATGTGTTTCATTATTGAACATTTAATTTAGGAAATAGCAATTTTTTCGGCAAAATGAAGCTCAATATCTTCCAATGATCAATTTTGGTTTGAAGATTCAAAGTTACAATTTGAAAATGAACATTATTTGCAAATATTTGCTTTTAAGAAGTTTGTGTTATTTTTATGCTTTGAAGAGATTTGAGTTGTTTCTAAAGTGTTTCAGGCCCTAAAACTGATTTCCCTTGGTGTTTGGTATATTTTCTCTCGGCACGTCACCATTTGGCCGATTTTTTACTGCATCCTTTTACAGTTGCCTTTCATCGTACCCAATTTTGCGTGTTGTAGGTATTCAATTGAATTTCCTTTTTGCGGAGATGTTGTCTTTTTTTCATCTCGAAACGTTATATGTCATTTTTAAGATGATACATGAAATCAATAATATATTAGATATACGCTAAAAAAATTGATAAAATTCCTCTTCATATAAACGGAATTGATAACGAATTTTGAGCCATAATAAGTTAGTTCTATTTTCAAAAATGCTTGAATCATTAATCGAAATTATTGTTTTTGCGTTAGAAATTCTATATCGAATACTCCCTATTAGTCAAACACACATGTAATAATGTCCGTTGTATTCGTTGAGATGGAAATTTACGGCTGGGTGTAAAAGTTCAATATCATATGCAAATTGCATATTTGATATCAAGCCGAGCGGAATAATGAATGGATTATGAAAATCGCCTATAATTTGTGACTTTGTTAGATGAATTGTTTGGTTTAAAAATATATTAGATCGATTCACTACCGGCGATTTTTGTTTAAAAAAACGAAATTAATATAACAATTTGTAGACTGTCCAAAGTTATCGAATCGATTTATTAAAGCGCATGAGTGTTGATGTTTGTAGACAAAATAAAAATTAAAACAATACACACACATCAAAGCATATTTTCCAGTGTTTCATATATCGCTATCAGTATCCGTAAGATAACTGAGAGGGATATATTCAGCCAGATATGAGTGTCAAAATTGCATTAGACACGCTTACCATCTCCAATGTCTAATTTAGACAGTGTCATATCTGGCCGAATATATCCCTCTCAATTATCTTACGGATACTGATAGCGATATATGAAACACTAATATTTTCTGATCATTCCATTAAGCTATATCTCGAATAATTGTTCTTTTTATCTCTTTCAAATCTAATACTGCAGTTTCTGCCGTTCCGTTCACTGTTCATCATTATTCAGAAGTCCGTATAAATGTTATGAATCGTCAAATTAATTGAGAAGGTTTTCTAAATATATTTTAAAAGCTTATTTATTTATATCTTTTGTTTGTTCAATAAATAACTCTGATAAAATGAATACACAATAAAATATTTCAAATGCTTTTTACTTATTAACGTCCATTTGAGTTTCCATTAAAGCCTTGAAAACAGAAATATCCATTATCTATGAGTAAATAAATTCAAATGATTAAGATTTTAATTGTTGAAACATACCTCCGTCACCTCCATTACCACCATTTCCACCAACTAAAAAATGAAATCAATTAATCAATCGTTCAATATTCAAATATCACAAAATTCAGAAAACAAATGACTATTTCTGTGAGATTAATTCAATATTTAAAAATGTTATGATGCTTTTGTGATAATAAAAAATATTTACCAGCTCCGCCACTTCCCCCAGTACCGCCGTATCCACCATTACCAGCACCTCCATTGCCCATTGCATGATTATTGTTTCCTAAAATGATATGAAACACAAAATATTGTGGCAAAAAATAGTGAAGAAAAAATAAATAATTTACAAGCAATTTTGGCTATATTGCCTATATAAACACACGAACAAAGAACTGATTTTTTTGAACCTGTCAAAAATGTACTGAGCATGAGATGAAGTGATTTATAAAAATATTCTATTCTAAAAAAGTTTGGACCGCTCATTTTCATAACAGTTCGTGTGTTACTTTAGCGTCGGATAAAATGATAGCATATAGTACATTGAAAAACATTTATAATCACCTTGATTTTCTCCAACTCCGTTGACATTAGTATTGGTGCCTTGACCATATCCATTGGTGTTGGTATTTTGACCATAGCCATTAGTGTTGGTATTTTGACCATATCCATTGGTATTGGTATTTTGTCCATAGCCATTGTTGTTGTTGTTTTGACCATAACCATTGGTGTTTTGGCCATAGCCATTGTTGTTATTATGTTGTCCATAGCCGCCACTGTCATCTATAAAAATTCAAATTCTTAACAAGTTGCAGAAATTAAAAAAATTCAATTATTGCAATGTTTCATTAAATTCAAAAAAATTCTGTGTATTGTATATGATAAAAACAACATCTGTTATTCTCTGCATTTATTGAAGCATTTGGGTAGGTTTAAAATGAGCTCCTATCAGCTCCTTCATGATTTTGAAACTTTTTAAGAAATAAAATATGTATTAAACATTTTTTAGAACTTACGGTGGTTATTATTGCCATGATTACCACCATTTCCTAAAAGTATATTGATAATTCTTCATTTATTTAAGTTCTATGATTATGAGTAATTAGTTTTTTTTCTGTATGCACTCACCGTGATATCCGCTTCCTCCTAATTGACAAAAAAGAAAATAATTTTATGTTCACAAAATAAAAATTCGACTAAATTTATTGAAACTTACCGCAACCTCCGCCTCCATTGTGAATAGCTTTGGGGACAGTCAATACTGCCATAATTGATGCAATCAAAGCAAATAGCACAAATGTAACCTAAAAATAAAAAAAATGAATTCAAACTAAAAAAAAAACACGAACGATTCACACTAAAAAAGATTTTTCACTCACCGAGAGTATTTTCGCCATTTTCACTATCGAATAAGATTAACAGCACGTTAGGTGTTTGTTACTAATGATTGTATCTTCTATGCGATCACTTTTATATGTACTCAAAAATGACCTTTTCGGCATTGCTGAAAACAATTAAATCAGAACAAATTGCAATATTCAAAATTAAACAACAAATTACGGGGTTTCAATGATAATATTACGTCAAAATGGTACTTGACATTTAATTTTTAGGTGATATCGTACAAACAACATTAAAATAGATAAGTTATTATTATGTTCGATTTTATTCAAGTTCAATAGATTCTATTTATTTCATATTTGCTTCATATTGAAATCAGAGAGCACGATCATTCATTGGAGAATCTAAAATTAAAAAAATATCTTTGATGTCGACCATCATTAAATTACTTTCGAATGGTATTCCGATTTGTTTAAAATAATCATTTGCTTCTATTGCAAGGCATTGAACATTTGCTAATCAATAATGTATCAGCAAGCTTTTAAATCATTTTCGGTTTGTTTGTACACGCATAAGTAAAAAAAGGTGTAAACCTATAAGCTACCAAGCTCAAAACTTTTTTCGCCAGATTCCTGACACTAATTTTAAGATACTATTCTTTTGGAAAATTCATTCAGGAGAATTTTTTTTGTTTTCGTGAATTTTCAAAACTTGAGATGTTCCATACGAAAACTGATTGTTTCATTCCAAGTTGTATTTTTTTGATTTTGGAATGCTTTGAGGTGATTCAATTAAAAATTGTTTTACAGAAAGCTTTGCACAGTATGAAATTTACGCCGGATGCTATACTAAAATACAGATTCAATGAAATTCACAACGATGTCATATGAATTTAAGAAAAAACCAACCATTTTTATTTTGGACCAAATAGTTTGAACAACTTTTAAAATCTGCCTATGGATTCAAATGCTGCTGCTCGTATTCATTCGTTCGCATGGCTTGTTTGAAAGGTTCGTGCATTGCTGTTATATTTAGTTAATGCATGATTACAGGTTTGACGTTCAGCGCTATGCAATAGCTTGGAATTGAAGTCGTTGTCGCATGGCTGTCGAAGCAACCATTAACTAGAATACTATGTATTTCACTTTATTTGATTAAACGCTTTGAATTTTAGATTAGTTTTTAGTAGGCTTGTGTGAACACATAACAACGTTTTTTGCAATGCAACACAATTAGAATTGTTTTTTTTTTGTGTATATATTTTTTGTTATTTTAGAAGAAAAGATTTACATTTTAAAACGCAAACAATAATTATGCTACATTTAAAAGTATAAAGATAATAAAAACAAATTCAATTTTGTTTAGAAAAGTCCATTTATTATTGGATAATTGAAAAGAATGTGTTAATAAGCAGATGAAATGAGCGGTTTTTCTTGAACACCGTTCAACAGATTTTGAACTGCCACTTTGAGCACTACTACAACCAGGAAATGATAAAAGTTTGCTTCTATCGATACCTGACAAAAAGTTATTGCAATATAAAAACTCGGTAGTTCTGCGTTCGAAATTTTCTCCCGTATTCACTCCACGAAGATACGAAACATGTTGAGTTGTATCGTCGTAGTAACAATCATTGAGCCAAAATCCCTTCGCTCTATAACAAAACACAAAATTAAAATGACTTTTTTTATGACAAACATCTTTTGACTATTTAAGAACTTTTCTTAAAAGCTCACTAATTCTTGCGTGGTTTCAACTGCAACTAAATTGTAAATGCATCCGTCTTATTTTTGATAAGTTACAATAATGTATTGTATAATAATTTATCAACATAAAGCTATCACAATAAAATGTATATTTTAATATTTGCATTCGCTAAATACAATTGAAACTCATGAGAGAAATATAAGTTTGGCAGATTAGAACTTAGTCATTACACATTTTTATCACATCGTTATAATAACAGATTCCTTTTAAATTCAAATCTTGAACAACACTTCAAATTTGAAGCTACGCAAGTTCGTTTTTTGCGTGGCGTCTCCATTTTACTGAGAGAAAATTAAGCTCATTAAAATATATTTTTGTTCGAATTCATGCGTATGAATTCCACTAAGATAATGAAATATGTAATAAAACTGTAAATAATTTGTTCACTTCTCTGAGCTTGTTGAGTTTTATTTTTTTTTTGGTTTTCGCGGCATCAGGAAAATCGGTGCTCAAATTCGAATCAGGCAACTCATGTGTCAAGGAAAAAGGACATAAAAGTGAAAGTGATGAAAAAGGTGTCAAGGAAATAAGTAATAAAGCGACTGTAAAATTTACTGAAAATGGAAACGAAACTAGAAAAATTATTTGTGTGAAAGTGATGTTAAATAAAAGTTAAAATGATATTGTTTTGAAATAAAACCCATTTCGGTATGTTTATATCAAATACATTCGACCATAGTTTCTTTATATATTTTTATCATATATTGGTCAATATTTTCTTCGGAAAAAATTAAACGGAATTGGTAAACAGAGTGACATTCGAGTTTTGAGCGGAAATAAGTTAGTTATGTCGCATGGGAATGTTTTAAAGAAATTCTATAAAATTGTCAATAAAATTATTCATCGGCCGACTTTTTTCACGTTGAAAAAACCCTATCAGAAACACGTTTGTTCAACGAAATTGAACGTCACGCGAGGAATTGAAGCAAAAATGCTTGAATCATTAATCGAAATTATTGTTTTTGCGTTGGAAATTCTATATCGAATACTCCCTATTAGTCGAACACACATGTAATAATGTCCGTTGTGTTCGTTGAGATGGAAATGTACCGCTGGGTGTAAAAGTTCAATATCATATGCAAATTGCATATTTGATATCAAGCCAAGCAGAATAATGAATGGATTATGACAATCGCCTATAATTTGTGACTTTGTTAGATGAATTGTTTGGTTTAAAAATATATTAAATCGATCAATTTGATGAATGTAAATAATAATTGACTGGCGGCGATTTTTGTTTGGAAAGAAACAAAAAAAAAACGAAATTAATATGACAATTTGTAGACTGTAAAAGATACGACGATGCGTCCACACGACGATCTATTAGAGCGCATGAGTGTTGATGTTGGTAGCCAACTGAAACTATGTGCGCAATAGAATACGCAATGAGCTTTAGAAAATGAACCATACACACACGCATTACAATCGTATCAAAGCATATTTCCTGATCATAACATTTGGTTGAGCTGTATGTGGATAAACAAAGCTTATTCAAGAACGCTCAGCTGAATACACAACTTTTTCGTCTGCCTATGATTCAAACGCAGCTGCGATCGCGTTCGTTCGCATGGCTAATTTAAAATGTTCGCGCATTGCTGTTATATTTGATTAATGCACGGTTACAGGTTTGGTGTTTTGAACGCAACAGCCTTCATCGCTTGGAATCGTAGTCGTTGTCGTATGGCTGTCTTTATTTGATCGAACGCTTTGAATTTTAGATTAGTTTGTAGTAGGCTCTTGTGAACAACAGACCTATTTCATTTTCAGTTTTCTCTCTAACTTAAAAAAAAAAAACATTATTTTTTGTGCTGTGCAATTGAATTGTTTTTTTTGTGTGTATCGTTTAATTGTATAGAACGCCGTGTTCGTCATTTTAGAAGAAAAGACCTAGATTTTTTAAAACATATTATTTTTTTGCAAAAATAAACCAAGTACGTGTTCAATAAATAAATGTAAGACATAGAAAAATAGAAATTGAATCGACTTGTTTAATTCAAACGAAACCGAGGTGAAACAAAAAGAACCTTTTGCATAATCGTCGAACCGAGTGAATCATATAATTAATAAGTGAACAATACTATTGTTATTATTGGAGAGGGAAAGAACAGACTTTCTGATCGTTGAACTTCACTGATTCGATAAATGTTTTTTTTCTCCTTCAATTAAATGAGTCATTGAATGGAAAATTTTGTCATATAATGTAATTTTTAAAAGAGATCTTACTCAAAAAACTATATCAACCCAATTTTTGACAAACAATCAAACATTTGAAAGAACGTTCTATTCGAAACTTCTTCATTATATCAAAAAGTCTCATTAAATTATTTAAATGACAATTTGTCATCGTATTCGAACTTTTATTGCATTAATTTATGTATTACGACATAAATCATTCACTGACCCCAATGCGTATAGACTACGGTATCCATTGGATACACGGAAAACCGGTACGATAAGTATACAAAAAGAAAAACAAATGAATTTAAAATTTAAAATCCGGTCCAAGCCCAAATGGAAGAAAGAAAGGATAAAAAGAAATCGGTTGTCACGTCGGCAATGTTCTGGAGTACAATTCGACGAAATTTGCTGAAATATTCTCACAAATCTCACTTTTTTCTCATCCATCTTCCAATTTATCACATTTTTAATGGTTTTATTTTGATGAATTCGTTACTTGGCACGTGTAAACATTCGAATAGAATTCACTTATATAATCATTCACATTTCATTGTATCAACCAAATCAGTTTGATTTGGCTGAACTTTGATTCCAAGTACGAACGGCCGTTATCACCGAAAAAAATTCGTGAAATACATTTGCATATTACCATTGAACACGATTGTTGGCCGATCGTGATTGAGCAACTTTTGAAGATTTTTTTTAAGCGTCATGTTCAAATATTTTCATGGATATTATCAAGAAGAAAAAAGAAACATTGCGTTAATTATAATGACGACGATAAAACGTGTTTTACCGTACAAGTGATAATTTTATCATTCTATTCCATAAAAATTAGAATATTTTATTATCAAATGCACTCAAATTGTTGAATAAAAACTACATATTGTGTGGTAATTTTTATTGCTGAGCATCTTGAATCTAATAAATAATCACCAGATTTTTTCCCTCCTAAATGATCGATTGACGACAAAAGAATAATGTTTCCAAACCATTTTTAATGATGATTGCACAATTTGCACACATGCACACTTAAATATACTGATATTAGTAATAAATTACTCGATACCAAAGATAGTTTTCGCGCAGTGCAAAAGCAAACCACATTTCAAGTGTGCTTTCAATTCCGTTTTCTTAGGTCGTTTGGAATACGATTAGAAAAATCCAGTTTTGTATTACAGTTGCAATTATCATTTGCAAATCCTATCTATTTTTATTCGAAACATGTTTTTATTGAGAATTTTCGCTTAAATTCTATCGAGACTTTTCGCTGATTTCGGTATCCCACAAGATCATATGAAAAAAAAATCTTATTCAATTCATCTAGTGCTCAATTCAAATACTGTAATTTCTTTCTCGCATAGCAATTTCGCTCGTTTTTTTCACAAAAGTATTTTCTAATTCATTACAAAATTCTATAAATTAATTTTCCGATTGTGTGCCATTTACCTCGAATGCTCGGGAATTCAACGCAAAAAAAGCAATACTACTTGTATATAGTGTTGCATAAAAGTCTGTAATAGCTCTCTTTTTACGTATGTTTGAAACCACAACAAACACACTTGCGTTTGCTTTCCACATTTGGCCAAGTATACACAGCGTTTACGACGCATATAGAGTTTTTTTGTAATAAAACTATTGAGCGTTTAATTTGAAGAATGGCGTAGTAGTTTGTTTTTCTTTCATTCCCATATGCACAATGGAAATTGGTTGTTTATTCCACATGTAACGTGATTTCGCCAAAGTGTGTATTTTGATTTTGGCGTATGTGTGGAATGTGGATGGGTTTTTGCTCTTGCGTTGAAGAGGTAAAATTTAATTGAATGGCGTGTATTTATTTCTTTTCAAGATGCAAGACAAAATTTCAACATGTTTCATTTTTTCTCGATAGCCTTCAAGTAATTCATCTTTCAATACGATACACTTGTTGAAACCAATTGCTTTTGTTGATAAAGTCTTACCTAATAGCAGATTAAAAACAAGTTAAAATCTCTTCATCTTATATATATATAATGTTGAAATCAGACTAAAACCATTTAAGTGTATTTACACAGAAGTGCGAATTCCCGAAAAAATGTCGAAATTTCATATGCCCAACCAAAACACTCAAAAGAAACATCAAAAAATGCGTTGAGTTTTTGTTTTGGCACGAACTCCGTTACTGCAAAGGTTTTATTATTATTCGATTGTCGGCCGAAATACACAGAATATTCATCTATACAATTGTCTTTTCGCGTCGATCGCCAAACAAAAAAACCCATAAGAATGTGAAGGCGATGGACGGAAAGCTTAAGAAATTGACTTTTATTACGAATGTTCAAAGTACATTTTGGCATTCCATGAGTAGTTATTGTAGAAAGGAAGAGAGAGAAGTGTATTTATGCACAATGACTATATTGACCTTCGACAGAATGTATTTTTTTTTCTTCTTCTACTACAATTCTCTTTTTTACGTTGAAACAATGGTCTGCAATTGTTATTTGTATTGCACTGGGCAGCTGGTAAGGCGATTGGCTGTGGTTTGAATAAAAAATACGCAATACTATATTAAATTATAAATGTCATTCACTTCTTCCCCCATTCCCATGTCGAATTTGAACTTTTCTGACGCAATTGCAAGATTTTCCGCATTCAATTTTGAAAAACAAAGACAGTATTTTATTCAAAAGAGGCGACACATCACTCTCATTCTAAGCATCACTTGGACTCATTTCAGCCTTTGTATATACATAGAGAAAAAACCCATCAGTTCAGCACTGTTGATTTCCGTCTTCATTTTTATCATTTATCAGTCATCTAGTGGTTATTCAAATGCAGTGTATCAAAAACCACACAAAAAAACACGCTTTCTTTATTTGGGAGAAATTGGGATAAACATAGAGAGAACGAGAGACATAAAAAGAAGGGGAGAGACGAGGAAAGAAAAAGAGAGGAGCTAAAATACGTCTATTCAGCATTGTACGCATTGCGAAAGAATGCAAAAAAAAATGCAAACAATGTATTTAATGCATGGTATTCATCTGGGGAAGTGTTTGTTTTGAAATTGAAAGAAGAAACGGCGAAAAAAATGTCTGTATAAATATATTGTGTCGCACACCCTCGACACACTCCGTTTGTCTCTCCTTCTCTCTCTCTCTCTACCTCTCACGATATCTCAATCTTTCTTATGTATAAATGACAACGAGCACGAGACTCCACGCAATTTGAATATGATTGAATGTTGTTACTTCACATCTTCAATCTCATTGCTATTTTTAGCATTTTCAATGTAAAATGCGATCTGAATGCAACATTACATATAAATTGTTGAGGTTCTTTTTGTGTCTGTTGTAGTCATCGTCGTCGCCTCTGTCGTCTCTGAAGGCAGCAGCACGTCTGCCGATTTATTATTGCTCATTGTTACGTCGCATTGCATTATCGATTACAGTGTCTTCCTCTCTCTTTTGATCAAGTTATATAAACACATAATAATATTCCAATCAATTAATCAGTCACTTGGTTTTATTCATTTGTGTACACATTAAATCGTAATTTGTATTGATTGTGCGTCGCAGAGACACTGTGAATGCTCGATACTATGTTATTTATTTATTGTTTATTCTAGCGTACGCTTTGGTATTCACTTACAACCAGATTTGTTTTCATTCGTATCGCCGTCCGTACTTGTTACACGCGACAAATTCACTTTTTCGTTCGGGTATTTGTCATTTTGGAGGCAAACACTCGCCAAAGTTATCAGCTCAACCCAATTTAATTTGAAACTGGTCATGATTAGATCTAAATTTCACATTAAATTACACTCACTGTCATCCATGCGTTGAATAATCAACAATGAAAAAATGTCGATGACAACAAAAAAAATTCACAATTATTCATTTGCTTTCCAATTTTTATTCTATTAACACAAAAAGTGAAATAAATTTATTTTTGATATCAATGCTACGACGATTTATTAAGTATTTCAAGTCTGTGATCTCTGATCTCGGCCGTTGTTTTTATTTTGTCATTTATAGAATATAATTTCGCCACTCGTCATTCTGATGTTCGTGTGCTTTTGTGTTTTTGTTCATTCTTTCACCAGTTAATGTTTGTACAAAGGAAACGGACGTCGTTGTGTCGTTACGTAAAGAAAACATAAAATCAAAATCATTACATCAAATCAGATGTTGGTGTTTTTTTGTTGTTTAATGTACACCATAAAAAATGAGCACATATTGATATCATGTGGCTCGTTTAATCGACAACGATATTTTTTTGCATAATTTTCACTCGCTCTGGAATACACATAAGTTTTAGTTTTGAAAAAAAAAAAAAAAAAATGTTTCGACACATATCTTGCCAACGATAGCGAGAATTGTAATCTGAAGCATGGAAAATGTGTGGAGACGAAAAAAAGCGTTTGTCAAAACATACAGAACGAATGATAAACATATCGGCGATAGAGAAAAAACAACGCGCTTACGTGATATTTGCAATAAACATTGGTCACTGCCCCCTTCGAACTTTGCACACACTTCACTATTCACTTTTTTAGGTCTTACGATAAAACTCATATTTATAAAATATGCTCTCGATTTTTTTTGCAGAACTTCGACAGGATTGAATCGATTAATTTTCATTGAATTTGAATCGGTTGAATAAAAAAAAACGTAAACATGTCTGCACAAATTCTAACCGTGAAATACAATGAAAACAATGTGCCATACATTGGCCTAGGTGAACATGAAATTCGTTTGGAAGCTGAACAACCCAGTGAAGCTGTGATGGAAAAGGCTCGAAATGAACTTCGGGAGCTTCCAGAAATTACAGGTGATTTTTGATCTTTTTCATTCAAATAACTTAATGATTACCATACAAACTAGAGTCTCTCAGAACTGAACAATTTAAATAAAATAAAAAAAAGTTTCTAAATCAAAATGTGTCTTTATTCGATAGGTCCAGCGATCGCTGAATTACGTGAAATGTTAAAAGGTGAGTACATAGATTACGGAAAGTTTTATTGTGGTTGAAATAATCCAACCACACTGCCTATGACGATAGTTCAATAAAAAAAAGGCAATCAAGGAAAAAAAAACGTAATTAAAAGTGTCTGCATCTCGTTAAAACCCACAAACAATTGGAATGTTGTTGATGTGTTTCTGTGTAATAAAAAAAAACGTATAATATTAATGATAACGTTGTCATCCTCCCGCTTAGATAAATTGCCTGACCGCATTTATCTTGACCAGTGTGAGTCACTTCGACTGAATTGTTCGATATATACGCATATGTTTTGATTGAGAGATGCTATTGAATCACGTGTTGAACGCAACAATCGCTCAATATTCATGTCGAATTTTGTAAAAATCGAATTCATATACGCTTGGCATGGATTACGCTGAGTTAGCATGACAAAAGCTAGTTTTCAACATGATTTCAAATACAGAAACCTGATCTTCGCTCAATTCTCTTCGTTCGTTTTCTCGAATCTTGTGTCTGTTTACAACATTATATGCCGAGCGTTTCACGTTTATTTCGTCTAAGTCGACGTCGTTTCTATGGCTGGTTTGTTACTGTTGACTTGTGACATTGAAAAAATATAAACATTTTTTTGTGTAAGATATACTTGATTTTTTTCAAGATTTTAGTAGACAAACGTGCCCACAATTTTTAAAACATCGGCCAGATGTTAGGCATTGTTTTGTGTGCAATTAACGAAATGAAATAAATAATGCGGTAGATGGGTGTCATGACAACAATAAATAAAAAGTTCAATGAAAATTAGACAGACGTACATCTCTCATCTGACAATCGTTAGATTGTCATCTAAACATTATTTGTAAATTGGTAAAAGAAACATGATAAATCATTTGAATTTAACGATATGGTTCCGAAACAATTGTTTTCCATCGCAATTTTAGTGCAATTGCAGTCAAAGGTTTTTGTATGTCGTATTTTTTCCCATTCGTATTGTATAATGTTCTATTCGCATGATGATGAGCACGCTAATTGATGAGAAACTATTTTTTGTGTGCTATAACATCGTCACGCTAATTCAGTTATTTAGTAGCGTGTGCTGGACACTTGTAATTAAATTCCCATTGCAACAATAAACAGAAGACCACAACTGGGTTTACGCGTACATCACTTGAATAAAGTTCAACCGATTAGAAGCAATTAGCGTGTTTTACCAGCGAGTTTTTTTCCACCATTTATTTTAATCTTACGACTTCGGTGAAATGAAAAGTAAAACAATTAATTGCATTTCGTTCTTTTTTTTTAGCTGAAAAGACACTTCATGTGCCAACTGATGATGAGTTCCTCAAAATGTATCTTAGGCCATGCAAGTATTATCCAAAAAGCGCATTCGATCGTGTAAGTTTTTTCTCGTCTTTCCACTATTTTTTGACTATTGATTATTTATTCGTTTGCGTCATACATGCTTATACAATCTATAGATCAAAACATTCTTTAAACTCAAGCAAAAACATTCCGACTTATACGAAGAATTGTTCCCCAACAACGTTGTACACGTATACGAACAAGAATTGGTGAAATTAGTCCCCACCCGGGACAGAAATGGTTCCCGACTATTGGTCATTCAATGCGGAAGTGAGTGCAACTATTATTTTTTTTATTTAAATGCCAAATTTGTTATTTTGACACATTTCGTTTCGTTTGCAGAAAAATGGAAACCAAATAAATGTTCGTTGAACGATTTGTTCCGTGCAATTCAAGTGGCTATTGCTGCATCAATGCTTGAACCAACCACACAAATTTGCGGTGGATGTGTTATTTTGGATTTCGATGGTCTTTCGTTGAGCCACATCATGCAATTTACACCATCATTTGCTGCTCTTGTCTTAACATGGGTTCAGGTACAAATCAGGAAATCATTTGAATGATGGATTTTTTTAAATACTATTCGGATTCAAAATTTGCAAATGTCACTCGGAAGTCATTAGATTTTAGGTAAACTTTGTGATTTAACTTAATTACATATAAACAATTGTATTTGCAGGATGCTTTGTCATTGCGATTGAAATCAGTTCATATCATAAACAACTCATATTTATTCAATATGCTATTTGCGATATTTAAGCCCTTTATTCGAGAAAAATTACGCAAACGGGTAAGCTAATGCCTTTTGTTATAAGACATATCAATCATTTCTCGTTTTATTTAATATACCGTGTTCTTTTGTTTTTTTTTTTTAGATTCATTTCCATGGCAAAAATCATTCCTCGTTGCAACAACACTTCGACGTTAACTGTATGTTAAAATGATATATTTTTTTGTTATCAATTGTTTATTGACCTAATTGATTTTGTATAGGTCTTCCAAAAACTTACGGCGGAAAAGTGGAAATTCCAGATGGTACTGGTGTTGCATTGGGCGATTTATTCCGCTTGTATTCAAAGGAATTTGAAAGTATGTAATCTACTAAAATCATATGCCAATTATAATTGTCAACGAACCGTTCGTTTGCATAGTCACTGCTCCAAATGAATAGCTTCGTTTGAATGTAAAACGAACGCACTTACAACGAACGCCTTCGTTGACAGTTGTCATATTGCTGACGATTTTGAACATATTTCAAATAAACTTACACATTTGTTTTACATAACTCACCAAATTTTTCGTTTCAAAATTGCAGTGGCAAATTCATTTGGATACGATTCACCTGCTCGCAATTCACTCTAAACATTTCGTGACATCGTAAAATCTGTGATAGAATTTAGAAGAAAAAAAATCTCGAATAACATTCGAAGGAAGGTGAACGATAAATATTCTAAGGAGAAAAATAAATAAATTTTCTTTAAATCAAAACGAAGAGAGAAAAGGTGTGAAGAAGAAAGACTATTGAAGATGATTAAATATCAATACGCAATCCAAAAACAAAACAATTCAATCGAATTTTTTGAATTATCTATTTTATATACACTTATACATTAGTAATTGCATAAGGGCATATTTTTATTTAGCCAATATCAATCAAATTTAAACATTCTGTTCTGATTATTATATCTATTTGGTGTTTAATTTTTATATTATATTTTTTTTGAAAGACATTTTTTCGGACAATTAGCTAATTTTTCTTTAAAATATATTTTAAACTCTGTAGAGTATATGGAATAAAATTATTGAGTCAATGAAAAAAAAAAAACGGTGCGTTGTTCTTGAATCGGTGTGCCCATTTTTAGATATAGAACTCACCTTAAACGGTGTCATAGCGTCGCTGGAAATAGAGAGAAGCAAATTAAAAAATAAAATCCACTGCACAAAAATTTGCTTTAAAATTTGATATTTTATTGTTCATGTGGTCCTTGATCAATATCTATTTATTTTTCATTTTCATTTTTTTTTATATACTACACAGAAGTATAAAAAGTGATTTTACAAGCGAATGTCTAGAGTGTGTATGTGTTTCGCTTTGGATATTACTTACGCTTATATCGATTTTACTTTTCTTTCATATTCTTTTCATTACTTACTATAATCAGTAACTTCGGTGATTGTGTATAAAGTATTTTTTATGGTTTCGTGTGTGTATGTGTGTGTGTGTGAATGAGTGAATTGTTTTTCTTCAAATAGATATATAAATCGTTTGTATTTTCTTCAATATTATTGTGGTTGTGTATGTGTTTCTTTAATTAAATTCTGGCTTTAACACTTTAATTCGATACGTACAAATAGACATAGATATTTAGTTACGTGCGTCAATCGCGTAAATAAAACTAAAACCAATAATACAATGTAAATGTAATTGATACACCTTATTCTTAAATGCTAATTTCAAATGTGTACAAAATAAAGCAATAATTATCGATTAGATGAAAACAATTTAGCTGCAAGACTTCAATATAAAAAAAAAGTTACATACTTGATTTATGATCTCATTTTTCAATTGTTGTTATTCATTGTTTGTTACTTTTTTTTCTTCTCTCAAATTGAAAACAGAAAAAAAATAGAGGGAAAAATAAATCCTCGTCATTTTTAAATGTAAGTGTATTTATGTGTGTATGTGTTTAATGATTTGTTTTTATTTTTTCCTTTTACTTTCTTCGCGATTTTTCCAATTATTATCGTTTGTGGTTGCGATTTTGTTCGCCGTTGTTTTTATATTTGTTTGTTGTTGTAGCCATTTGGCTAGGTTGACTTTTTGTTTCATGCAAAATATTTTCTATACTAGAAAATAAAACAAAATAATTTACTTTATACTTTGTACTTCATGGATAGTGTGTATGTTGTAATGAAAGATACGCGTACTGAATTATCACCCCGTAGAGAATTTTTCATTACATGTTTTGGTGATTCGTGTGTGCTGTGCTGTTGGGGATGATTCAAGGTCGCATTGTAATGTGTATGGGTGTGGGTCGGTTTGAGTAGTGCGCTTTAATCAATTTTTTTTATTTGTTACGAGAAGGGATGTATATGAAGGTGGTGCTGGTGCCGATGGTGATTGCAATGTGAATTCGATTAACTTTTAGATTTGTTTGACTTCGTCGAATGTACGGGGATGAGCTTGATGAGATGTGAGATGATCTACATTTCTACATTAGCACTCTATTTTCTAATGTTTGATGATGTCAGTCAGACAATGTATATTTACTTGTTTTTATCTTTGCATTTTTTTATGTTTGAGTCTGCTATCACAGATATGTTGATTCGCCTGCACGATGTATGTGAATGTGTATGATTGTGTGGTTTTGAGTGTTGTGATGGTAGGTGGTAGATTTGCGAACACAAGTGCAAGGATTGTTAGGAGGAAATAAAAAAAGAGAAAAAAAAGAAAAGAAACAATTAAAAAGAAACTCAAAATAGTAAAGATAGAGAAAATTAAAAAAAAAAAAACATGTTTATGAAATGATGGTAAAAAAATATATATGTAAATTGATTTGTGTGTTGTTCATTTTGACCGCTATCACTTGTTATGATTCTTAATTCGATTAAAGTTACTACAATATACTTTTATTTATATATTTTGATTACTACTACAAAACTACAAGATGAAGAGCTACAAATTAACATTCCTACAGATAAAAACCGTTTGAAACTAAAGACACTTTTTAAATGTTTATGCTTTCTTTTATCTGCCATGTTTTCATTTCTGGTGTCTATTAAAATAACAAAACATATAGTGGAACATGTGTAAGTACGTTATACTACTTTAACTACTCGTTAACTATAATTTTATCCTTAAGGCTTAAGTTGGTAAGCACGAGAGCTATAGTGATGTATATGATTCGTATATATTCATAATATGACATGTCATATTGTATTGCTTCATATTTTATAGAATACTTGATTTTTTGTTCGTTTCAATTTCGGGTCTCTTGTGTAAATGCAAAAAAAATTGATTCAAACTGCTGCTATCCCAGCAAACAGATTTGTAATGTTTTAAGTACATTCTAACGTTGAAAAATGTAACGTTGTGGCCCATTCTGATGGTCATTTTCGTGTCAAATGGAACGGAGATTATACATTCGATTTAGAATACAGAGTCCTTTGTTGAGGTAAGACGTGATATTTATAATGCGTTCTTCATTACTGTATCAATTGATTTGTGATAAATGTGTTTTTATCTTATTGTGTTTGTGATCTATGCTATATTTGGTAAATTTCGTTGCAATAAAATGTGGCTTGCAAACGATACTTCGACCCGAGCATACAGCAGTTGTGACGCAAATATTGTTTGAGCGCAGTCTTCAAATGACGGAAGTTGCCTCATTGGCCTCACTTTTGATTTTATTCAAGGTGAATGAAGCACTCAATAATGAAGATCGTCAGTTCTTTTTGCGACGGGATCGTCGACAGTTCTTCTTCGATTGCTTTAATGCGGTATTGGCCAAAAACATTTATGATAATAATACCGATTATCCCATACCGCCAGAGTTTCGGGCGTGCTGAAAGTGGTTCCCAAATTCCGCAATCCGTACACCAACCGGCTAAATAAATACTCCGAAGAATACTACAGAGATCATGATCGAGATGGACTATGGAATTTGTTGTTCGACGTCGATAAAATCAAGCAATTGGGCAAACGATCCAAACAATTCCATCATCAAATCGTTACCAATAGTGTTTCCGTATCGGCACTGTACACCAAACTAGAGCAGGCGTGCAACGAAAATGTGCATTTACAGGCGGACAATCTTGTAGGCAAGAAATACGTTATTGGCATCGATCCGAATGAAAAAACGTGGTTGGCTATAACGCGTCGCAACATCCGGAAAACATCTGATGAACCGGCCGTTGAGGTGAGATATTTTGAAATCTAACTTGAAATTTGTTTGAATCGAAACTAATTGTTTATATGACTTTGAATTTTTAAGGAAAACATCACAATACCAAACACGCGATTCTACTGGGAAACTCGGCAGAAACAAAGAGAAAAAGAGGCGAAAAACTTGGCTGGATGGTTTGATATCGAAGAAAAGAATCATCTGAAGACATACCCATTCGGTCCAACATCACCGCGTAATTCAACGTGGCAATGGTACATTGAGTATCGCATCAAAATGCTACGAAAAGGAATGTGAGCATATGCTACGCGCAAATATTCACGACTGGATTTTGATAATTACATGGAGTCGAACCAAGTAAATGATAACATCGCCGTGACAGTGACCAACAACGAGCCGTCAATAATTATATTTGGTGCATCGGAGATGCCACCCAATCGGCCATTTGGTTTGAAGAGACGGAAAAGATGTCCAGGATCTCGGAAATTTTTGGTGAGCGTCAAGAAACTTGGCCATTCAGTGGTGAAAATGGAAGATGAATGGGTAACATCACAAACATGCGCGAATTGCCAAGAACGATTTCCAGCGAACACAAAACCGCATCGATTCAAAGTGTGCTACGGTTGCAAAGCGAAACCGATTGCTAGACTACCGGACTCATTCGCTAGTCTACCAGATATAATTGTGGCAACGGTTAGCAAACGTGCTTTGCAAAAGGGACGGAAGGAAATTAAGCGTCGAATTCGCAATGGCAATTATCAGGATGTGGAGAAAATACTTCGGAATGGGCGTTTAATGTCAAAAGTTAAAGTTACCTACAAAAATTGGCCATTAAATGTTCAGGGTGATGTTGCTTCTCCACAGACAGCTGTTTGGCACCGCGATATTGTTGCTGCAAAATGCATTATGCTCAAAGGTATGAATCAATTGAAAATAGAGTCTATTCATTTTTTAATGTTTTTGCTTCAAATTACACAGGACTTTGTCGGATGTTTGGCGTACCAGTGCCTGATTCGTTGAGAAGACCACCAAACAATGTCAACTGACAAGCAGCAGCATTGAATCCATAAATTATTAGATAAAACAAATATTATAACGATTAGTTAGCTTAGCTAGGCTTGACACCACGTTCATAAGAACAGTACAACTATAGTACGGGGGGAAGGAGCCCGCAGGTGAGTAAAGTTTTTAATTAAAAAAAAAAGATTTTTCATATACAATTAAATTGATACTAATGATTGTCGTTCCTCTTTTCCATGTATTCACACCTGAATGTTACGCTATGGCAACCGTAAAAATAACTGAAACTACACACAAATCCGGGTCCAAATTTGACCGTGAATTTTTGCCTGGCAATGGGTGAATTTGCATTACAAATTGTTCTATAGACAATATTCCACTGCAAAATCAAATGAAAAGAAAATAGCATTGAATAAAAAAGAATGTTTTGGTGGTTATGTTGCGAGGATGTCACATGACGGTGAAAATCTCATCGAAAAAAAGATCAAATCTCATCGATTTCAACGCCAGTGACACAACGACAGCAACGAAAAAAAAAAACTCAACTAAATTTTGTTTTTCTTTTGTGTTTTTTTTTTAATAAAAAAGATCGTAAATGTATTTGTTCTCTAATACATAATAATCAATACATAATAATTCATTTGTTTGGTTGTAGTATTTTTGTTGTTGTAGAATTTTTTTGTTTGTTTGTTTCTTGTGTTATAGATTCGTATGCAATTTGAACGTGCAAGATTGCACATCAAATTTGTAACGATCAAAAGGTTGATTCTTTTGTCACAGTAAAAATCAGTAATTGTTTTGTCATATCTTTATTGTTGTTATTTGAAGTTATTTTTTATAAAATTCACAGTAAGGAGTCTGCGAGTGTATGTGTATGCTTTTTGTTATTGTTGTTTCCATTTAGCATTTAAATATTTTTTGTTTTGTTTCAAATAATTCTACGCTTTTTTGTTGTTGTTGTTGTTGCTGTTCTTCTTGTCAGTTAATATTTAAATTCTAATTATTTTAAACTCTATGCACATTTCTAGCTGAATTGTCCAGATTATTTTAATGAGAGATAAAATTTTGAATGTTAGAGAGGGGTAGGGAGAAAGAAAGAGAAAGCAACAAGCTTGCAAACCTCTTCTCGATTACAAGCATGATACTTATACAGAAAAATGAGATTTCGCGAGAGAAAAAAAAGAACGAACATTGATGTAACTAAGCTGGTATTTGATCTGAGAAAAATATGTATAAATTAACACCGACGACTTGTGTGTGTGTATGCAAGTGTGTGGGCGACAAGTGAGCGTGCATGCTCTGTCGCGATATATATTGTACCCGCTCATTTGCAGCTTGGAGAATTGTTGTGTTCGAATTGACTTTGCACAACGATGATGACAGACACACAAGTATGAAGCATGCGTGAGTGCATTTCACTCTCAGAAGCCTCATCGTCCGCAATTTACTGTGTACATGCGCCGAGAAATCAGCAAAAATTGATTCTTTTTTTTAATTTTCTTTCGGTATTTTGGTATGTATACTGAGTCATTGTAGATCAATGGTAATATAGATGTATTTTTTTATTCTTATTCTTCTCGTTTATTATGTTATAGATCAAGTTTTTTTATTCTTCATTGAAAAACATAAAAAAAATTGTTTAAGTCCCTAATCATTAATAGTAAAATTTTAAATCCTATTAATTTGTTTTCCATATATATATAAAACTTTGTTTACTTTTTTCATCCATTCATCTTTCATTGTAATATAATTATATTGAATTTGTTTTTTTTTTACTTCTTCGCCACCATTCCTTATCCATTTCATAATTCGTTTTTATTTGTATTTGATTTATCATTTTTTTGTTTAATTTTTTTTATTTTTATCGTATTTATCAATTTTGCCAACCAAAAATACATTATTATTGGGTTGGCCACTAAAAAAATATGACATCTCTCACATATATGTCTTTCAATACAAATCAATATTTTAAATTTCGAAATTTGTTATGTGTTAATTATTACAGACAATTTTGCTTGTTTTACCTCTATATAAACTACGAATAGATTTGTGATTTGTTTCATTTTTATTTTCGATCCTGAATAATGAGTTTAAGTTGTTTCTTTTTTGTTGACTGTTTACAAATGGAAAAGGTTTAACTTTTAGTTTATTTTTTATTTGTCATTCTTTTCTCTTATCATACCGCCGTATATCTCACGTTAAGTAAATTTTCATTGTCTCAGAATATTTGCTGATTTTTTAGTTTCTTTCCGTGGGGAAGGTTTTTCAATTTAAAAAAATCAAATTTTGGTAAATTGGCTGCTTGTATATGTTAAAAAGTCGATACATGAAATAATATTGGAGGTTTAGTTTGCTTATCAAAACTAGATGGAAAACTAAACGGTTTTTTTTATTTTAATTTATAATAATCATCACTTCTGCTTATTATATTTTGTTTGTTTGTTTTTGTTTATATACTAGAATATATCCACAAAATGTGTTTGTATTGTATGAGTGTAATTTACACTTGCAAAAAAATTCTAGATGATTCTTAAGTTTTAATTTGTCGTCTCTATCATATCATATCATTTTTTCGTTTCATGTACGGTTTGTTTACTTTAATGACGGTTTCACGTTCGATGCGACTCGAAAAATTGGTTGGCGAAAAAAAATGCACACCGTTCAAGCGACAATTCAACCAAAAACAGATGAAACAAAACCAATCAGCGGGCACACTAAATCAATGTGCAGCAGCGCGAAAACTGATAACAATAACGAGCGATTTAATCGAATTTCGATTTGGAAAAAAGAGTGTCACACTTTTTTACCCTACTCTTTGCATTACACTACTTTTTCTTTAAGTAAAATGTCTTTTACTTGCATTTCAGTGGCGCCATTACTTCTGGAATAAAGTGTGTGTGTGTGTGTGTGTGAGAGAGAGAGAGAGAGAGAGAGAGAGAGTGGTTTTTGCGCGAGCGACCACATCAAAGTTATATGTTGATGATTGAGTTTTGATGGGCGTTCGATTATATGGAAAACTTTTTTGCAACTCATACACTATGTGTATAATCGATTTTTGATGGCGTTATTATTGAATTGTCGCTTGTTCGGTTTTATGACATCATTTTCGGTTATTTAACTTTTGGTTATGGTGATGGTGGCAATGATGGCGATTGTAAGCGTGTTCACATCATTTGCAAATATATATGTCTTCTGTTTAGTTTAGTTTTTTATTTAATAATATCATTTTGTAATTATTTTGAAAAGAGTTTTTTTTTCTACATAAGCACATCGAATTACATTAAAAAGCATTATTATTTTTTATGTTGTTGTGTTCACTTATTTGTTAGTTCACTTTGTTTCATTTTGTTTTCTATTATTGTTGTCCAGAATGTCTGTCTGTAAGCTGAATACAAAGCACGGCATTTCATCCAACACTAACGCTGTCTCTTCCAATTCAACTCTGTTTTTTTTTTCGGCGATGATTCCAAAAATCTAATCCAATCGACTGTGTGCATGTGTGGAGATTTGTTGGTGGAAACAGCACGTGCAGCATTAAAAACGGTATCATATTGTTGTTTCGAGAGTTTTGAATCGCTTCATTTTCTGTGTTTTTTCTTTGTTTTTGTTGAAATTCGTAAACAATTTTTACAAAGGATGCAGCTTTCAGGAGCATGGCATCACAGGAGGGGTCAGGAAAAACATACAGCTGCAATAGATAAACTAAGCTCTACGTGATGCGAAATATGGCATCAACACACAAAATCGTTTTGGTTTGTTTTCAATTAGTTTGTTTTTGTATTTTTCACTCTCTCAAAATGTTATGTATTTTGTTAGCAGTGGCGCGCATCGAAACAAACAGTTTATCCGGCGACCAAATGCATCGATGTTATACGCGAACAAAATCACATATACTCATGTGGTTGATTTAACATTGTCGAACCGTTTGTTGTCGATTTGTTGATGATGATCAGGCTTGAACTAAGCTATTGTTGTGCGGGTCATGTGCATAGACGGTGTCAATATCCGATTCTGACAATAGTCGATAACGACCAATTGGACTTTCTTGTGCATCAGCTGTGCAGCACACAAATTATACAACAATGACGAGTCGGTGAGACGAAAAATGTTCAACATTTTTTTTAAAGGAGGAGTTTTTTTAAATTGTCAGTTTTTATAGTTGAGGCGCAATTTCGATAATGAAATGTTTTTTTTTTTTGCAGGTTATCACAGATTTTGCACGATACAGCAATGGGCAGCATGTAATTATAATATTAAATATAAAAATTGTTTCATTAATATTGTTTTGTTAGTAAAATCATTTTTTTAAAGTTAGAATAAATAATTTTGAATTTTATTATACATCAAAAGCATGTGTGATACACATAATGTATGAAATATTCTAATGAATAATCAAAGAAAAAAAGGGGAATAATTCAAATTTTGATCTAAATGCGATTATAAAACTTCTATCGAATACGTAGAAGTAGGAAGAGATGACATAACATATCCCGAATAGAAACCAAGCAAGATCGGAAAATAAAATTCGTTCCACCCGAATAAAAATGACTATCAAACCAAATAAAATAGAGCACAGATAATATAAAACCGAAAAAGTTTGTGTTTTATTGCGAAAAATTGTAAATTAAATAGCCCAAAAACAGAAAGAATAGTGATTATAATAAGAAAATGGAAAATTTTTGTAACAAAAATAAAACAGATGAGAGGACAACTTGAGATACAGAATTATGTCATGAATATGTTGTTCAAAGTTCTTTGGAAAAGTATACGGAAGCAATATATATGCTGATGCGATTGAATTTCAAATGAATTCAATAGAAAAAGAAGACAGAATGTAACTTGTAACCAATGTAAAATAATAATAAAATGATAAAATTAAATTTCGAAAGAAAAAATTATAAATTTTTATTTTATAAAGTTTGTTGTTGTTTTTTTTATCTATCGTTTCTTACTCACATACATTAAATTAAAATTTACTTAAAACAAAGCTATGTTTGATTAGGGGTGTGCATGTGTTTTGCTGTTTTTCGTAGGTGTATGGGTGTGCGTGGTTGATTTTTTTTTTTTTTCATATAAAACTTATTCATCTAATAGACACTACAATTTAAATAATATGAAAACAGAAATAATCTTTAGATCAACGATTGTTTCAAACGTAAAAAAAAAACGATTTTTTTTTCAATTAATTTTTTTCGATAGATTTCTATATATATTTGTAAAAACGCCAACTTTGAAGCTCAATCAACAAGCGAATTTAGTCTGAGTTCTGTGTTACTAACTATAAAATAAACTGTTTCTTTGCTTTATTCCTTCTTAAATTTAAAAACTAAAATTCTACTACTACTCTTGCCTAAAGATCTACATTTTTTCGGGCAATCGGTGCGAATTCTTTGAAAATAAAGACATTCTTGAATTGTTTTTTTTTTCAGCCGTCAAAAGATGGCAAAAGCAGCAGCATTAAATTGATTTGTGTTTGATTAAGATAATAAGTATTTGTTTTAATGGCCATTGCGTAACCACTTTTCATCTATTTAAAAAAGAGGCAAAATTCCTATTACTGGCAACGAAATAACTATCAAAATTTGTACTTTTTTCTGCGTATGTGTTTGCTTTTGCAAGTGTGTTTTTTAACGCTACTTAAATATTCGACAGGCGGTTTCACAACAATCGAACTGTTGCTGTTCAATTCAAGGTAATATATTCACCGAGAATAGTGTGTGAATAAAATCATATGCGCTGTCGTCGCTGCTAGCATATCTGATTCGAAAAATGAATGGAGAAAAAGAGGAAACTGAACACTATTTAATATTCAGTAAATTGATATAAAATTAATTCAAGTCAAATTCCCACACGTTGTTGCTGCTTGATGATGATGATGATATTTTAATATTATTTTATGGGATGATGACAAAAAAAAGAAGAAGAAGAACGACTGCTGTACATTCATTTAACAATCAATTATTACAGACGATAAAAAATTATGTAATCGATAACCCTATTTTGTCACGTGATATATAGTATACTCTTTTTCTATATTTTAAAATGTACTTTTTACGTGTGCCTTGTCTAATAAATGGGATGTGTATGTATATATGTGTGTACTGAGTGCGTATGATTCTTTTCATCATTCTCTCTGTCACTAATTAATGTGCGATTAATTATTCTGCATAATAGTAAAAAATCGTATAAAATTATCAATTAAAAAAATCTACGTATATAAGTTATGAATAAGAAGAAGAAAAAAAACTCTTTTCTTCCTTTTTTATTTGTTTTATGTACATATTTCCGAGCTTCTAAACTTTTAATTCAATATTATTATTTTTTTCATTCGTCGTGTCACTTTTTACTTGCTAAACTTTCAACGATTTCTAAACGAACATAAATTTGTTGAATTCAACACATTTTCTTTCAAAATTGTTTTCATAGAAATTTCACATAATTTTTCTCGTTTTTGTTATTTGCTCGCGTTCACAAATTTTTCATTTCTTTGTAAGGCATATAAGATATAATCTATAAACGACATACAGATCATGTGACGATGAAGATGAATAAAAAAAAATATGAAGAGCTAGCTACACACGAAAATAGAATCAACACACTGCACGCATACAAATTAGAAAGATGAAAACATAGAATATAAACGATGAAAAATAATATATATATATATACATAAATATGGGCAATTTATCCGAAAAGATACAAAACGAAGGTGTTGTCGAAAAGAAAAGCAAATCACCAAAACAATTGTTGTGGTGTTACTTCTTTGAAATGTTTCGATTTTGTCGCATCACGGATTGCAATTCCTTGCGTATTTCTCGAAATGAAAATTGTGGGCGGCTACGTTTATTATTGGTTAGAGACGATGATGAAGATGATGTTGTGCTATTGGATGAGGTCGATGACCTCGTTGTGAGATCGTTTGATCCACTGTTATCGGTGTGTTTGTCATTTGATGTCATTGTCGATGCTGGCAATATTGAGTTCACATTATCCGGCCAGGTCGGAGTCATGTGTCTGCCATCGACTTCATCGCAATCGGTTGTGGTCGCCGACGATGTCAACGCCGATCGTAATGGTTGCGGCGGTCGTGGTGGCGGTAATTTGATTTCGCCATCATTTTTTGCTTGGAAAAATGGTAACACTTCTGACAGTGATGGATTGTATTCGGGACTTTCATCGGTTGGACTATTGCTCGCACTGACATCAGTACTGTCCGAACCAATGATGAGTTTTGAATGATTTTTTCTTGGACTGAGCGAAAAATCGAATATGGAATTTTGTTCGTTTGCTGTTGAAATTGATGAACTCGAACTGGCACTAACCGGCGGAATTTCATCGAAATCATTGGATTTTGGACGTTTTGGAAGTTGTTTACACAATTTTTCATCATTTTCAATTCGTTTTTTCAATTGATCCGAATTCAATGGATTTCCACTTCTATCGGGTTTTAAATAATCATTGCCAGCAACATTTTCCATCTCATTATTATTAATAAATGTGGTTGAAATCGTTGTCATTTGATTGGCCACCTTAAAACCAATGCATTGAGATTCAATCGGTTTGGCAACAACCAAATCACAACGATCACCATCACGACTGACCAATTTTGACGATGACGAATTGGGATGCCGATTGCTACAACGCTCGGGTAGCGTGAATCGTCGATTTGATGCATGCGTATGTTTATTGTGTGCGCCATATAAATGATTATGATATCGTTTCGTATTAAAACTATTCGTACGTGAACGTGTTTTCGCTGTTTGATCGTTAAGCATGGATGGTACACGGTCGCTGGGACTTTTGTACGGTGAACCTACACTAAGTTGATTATCACAGATCTCCGAATAATAATCTAAACTATCGTTTGACTGTTGTCTACCGCTAATCAATTCAGATGGCGTTTGAATGTTCACCGTTTTCACAATTGTCTCATGAAAATCCGGATCACTTCGCATATTCCACAACCAACGCAATTTCTTTGAATTTAATTTGCTTAGGTGTACATTATTATTGATATTGACATTATTAACACTGACATTATTGCTACTACTAAGATTACTTGTGTTATTGAATATTTTAATGCTATTCGATTTTGCTTTGAATTGATGTTGATGTGATAATTTAGCGGGTACAGAACTATTGGATGTAGTGATAGCAGTGTTTACAGTAGTAGTATTATTGATGTTATTATTATTATTAATATTTTGTTTTTGTTGTTGTTTAAAATTAGCTAATTTTTTTATTGATTTCGATTGTTGTGGTTGTTGTTGTTGTTGTTGTTTGCTATTGCTAAATGTACGTTGCTTTGGCCAATGTTCTACATTAAGTTCATTTGTTTTGTTGAACTCACCAGATTCCCAGTCACCACCTGTTGACGATTCAGAACTGGATGCTTCAGGACTTTCGGACGGTGTGTGCGCATCGACAAATGAATTCATGCTTGATGTTCGTTGATCATTGTTCATGATATTTAAACGGCTCACTTGAATATCGTCATCGCTCATGCATTCGCTTGGCTTCAATTTCACCCGAACCTTTATGTAGCAAACAAAAGTGAAACAGAAAGGACACATAATTAAAATGAATCTTTGTTATTCTAAATGATGAATAGTCCGAATTGACTATATATATCTATATCATATATTGTAGAAAGAATGTGAGTGCTAAAGGAAAAAAATTTCAAACGGAAATTACCTCAAAATTTGATGGAAAAGTTTTACATTGGATGTCTTTGCACGCATTGTCTATTTCACTTTTCGACAGCACATATTCGATGAAAGGGTTGTTATTGTCAGCTGTACGAATAGGAGCAGAAACGAAGAAGTAACGAAAGAAAAAAAAAGATAGCAACAACAACAAATTGAGAGAGAAATTAGTTTTGACTCATACATGCAATTTGCAGAAAACTTTCGTTTCAAAAACTTCGACTTCACAAAATATCACAATAACTTACCATCATTTTCCCTTTCGCTGACAAAATATGTGTTGAACCAAAAACTGAACAGCGGCTTTTTCCGTGATATTCTCGGTTTCATGTAAAATTCAACTTTGATGTCGCCGGAAAGTGTTTTACAACTATCTAATATGATCACAATACCGTCGGTATTGTTATGAACACCGCCGTTACTCCCGTTACTTAAGCCATCTATATGTGACGCCGCTGCCGCTGCCGCCACCGATGCTGCTGTCGTCGTCGTTGCTGTCGTTGCTGTATTAATATTCGATGCGGGTTGATTTGTTGTTGCTGCCGCCACTATTGAATTGAAATTTGTCATCTTCTTCGTATCAGGTACTTCGTTTTTATACACTACGCATTCCTCGTCATTGTCTACATATGATATTTTCAAATGCACCGTTCCCTGATGGCTGTTTATGAATGGCAATGGCGATAATTTTATCTCGCATATCTGTACGATTTGAATGATAGAAAAACAAAGACTCATATCGATTAATGCATATACAATTATACATAGTTGAAGTGTGCGCCTTTACCTCCACCCCAAACACATAACGTGATGCGACACACAACTATAGCTAGATTTATAGATTTTGGTGATGTTCTACATACCTTTAGTGGAAACGGCTCGTATGGTTTCTGTGAGTTGATTAGACGTGCGTAATATTCAACGTAACGTCTTTGCGATGGAATCGTAACGCCTTTGTGATCATGTGTTCGTGCTTCTCCATAAAATTTAAGTGCTTCACTCGCACTACTAAAACGACCATTGTAAATCATGTAGCAGCATATCATTGTCCCTATATATATATATATATATATATGGCACAATGAGCCGATGAACGAACAACGAGTATGCGATGTGTACACGATATATGTTCAAAATCCAAATGAACAATGAAAATTGAAATAAAGAAATAAAATAAAGTCACGCATGATTAATATGGAAAATTACTTAATTCATCAACAATTCAATATATCTCTATCGTCCGTCTATCGCTAACTCTATCTCTCTCTCCAATGGATATTATTTATAATTGTGAATATAATATCGGGTGAACGAATGAGTAAGAGACAAAACTATAGAGACAAGTTCTGTTTTATTTTTTGCATTTGGAATTTTGTCATTTGTAATCCTCATTTACACTCGATTCGAGTTTGTTGTTATTTATTGTACGGCCAGACAGATATGCACATACATACACACACTAAACCTGGACAGTATATTAGTAATTAAATTCCACTCACCGGTTCGACCTTTGCCAGCTTTGCAATGAACGGCTGCCACATGTTTTTTGTCAGCACTTAGCCACTTGTGTACGTCCGTACAAAAGGATTCAATTAATTTTATGTTCGGAGGATTATGGTCCGGAAACGGATATTTTGCAACTCTCTGCATACGCATGAGCCATTTCACCAAATGTTTGTTGTTATTTTTGTGTTCGGGGAATTGAGATCGAGGGAAATGAAGAAGAAGAAGAAAGAAATAATTAAATTTAAAAATTTATTCATTTATATAGAGAAAAAAAACGAATGAAGATAAATGTTGAATCTATTACTCACAGAATGAAACTTTGTAATATCGTAGTTTTTATCACGTTCGGAACACAAATTGTAAATTTTGTAACAATTTTCGTGTTTCATTTCGAAAAATTTGTAAACCTGTTCTATATCATTTCTATAAACACTTTCCATTCTCGCTGCCGGAAAACCCATCGCAATTAAATTATCTTGAATGTCTGCATGTTTCGTTCAGTTCAATTTTTATTCGTTTTTTTTTTTGGCAATCAAGTCGTTCGACATACACAACAAAAAAAACATAGACATGAGTGATGAGAAAAGAGTTACACACAGGAGAAATGCAGCAGCAACAACGAAAGGGAAAGAAAGAGAAAAAAAATATGAATAAATAGAATGGAGGAAGGAAAAATCGATTTGAATATTTCAAAATTGAATCTGAAAAAAAAAGAACTTGCAAATGGGAAAGATGTGTATCGTTTGGTGAACGACAACTGCAACACTTACATGATAAGTCTAAGTTGAATCCATCCTGGGTAAACCGTTTTTTGCTCTTGCTGACCATCTCCTTGATTGGATTTGTGATTTTCATACTGGTTGCTATTGATATAATATTTGCCATTCCTCTCAAGAAAATTGTATGGCTAAAGTGCCAGTCGACTGCGTCGTGTTCCTTCGTTTTCGCTTCACTTTTACAAAAACACAAACGATTTTTCACACACTCACACTTTCGATGCCGCGTGACCGTTTTATGTGGCTAATCGTTGGTGCGTGTGTCTTTATAATGGATTTCGAGGGAGGATGGGAGACAACAGCACGTTGTCAGCCTGACACAATGGTGCCCTGAAGAAAACACTTTTTTCCCTTTCTTTCGACGTTTTTTTATTTATATTTAAAATATATTTAAGATTGGCTTTACCACTAGCATTGTGCTCAAATTGTTTCCATTTTTCCTCAGAAATCTCATTTTGTTCCGTTCGATTCCAATTTCGAGCAAAAAGGTATATTCCTGAACTTTGTCAATCTGCAAACATAAGAGAAAACAAAAGAGTTGAAATAGCAACAAAAACATTCAACATCGAAGAAAATAAGAAATAAATAGAATTGAATAAGTCATGCAGTCATTGAAAGCGCTTTAACAACTTTTCGAAAACTCACAGAGAGAAGAAATAAAGAAAGAACAACAGAGAACATGAAGCGAAAAAATCGCACTGAATTCGGTAGCAAGCAAACCAATGAAACCTCTATATATACACAAATATATATAAGTTCGTGCTATGCCTCTCTCTCGCTCTCTTTCTCTCTCTCTCAAATAAATCGTCTCAAAACTTTGGCGCATAGAAACAAATGATATATTCACCGACCGAACAGCTGATTAAATTTACAGAAATGAAAAGAAGAATGAATAATTATATAGAGTCGATCACTGCGTTTATATCGTTCTATCGACAACGGCGAGCTAGAACGAGTAAGTGTGTGTGTACGAGTAAAAACAATATTTCCTAAGAGTGTGTGTGTGTGTATCAATTGCATATGAATGATTAATGGAGTTTAAATATTTGTGTGATTATCCTCAAATTTTTTTTTGTTCACCTTAACAAAATTCCATTTGATTTGTTGTTACTCACGGTTTTTCTCTTCTCTCCTTCTCTTTCTAACTTTTTATTATTATTTTTCCACACACAGAGAGTTCTATTATGTATAATATTTTTTTTCGGTATTCTTTTCTCGCTCTCACAAGCCTCTACAGCTTTTTATCCACTTTTTTTTTCTCTTGAAATCGGTTTGTTCGTTCGTGTCTAGCAATATTTTGTTCTCTGTCTTTCGTTCGCTATTTTTTCATGACAATGATTGATATGGTATTAAATTGGTGGTGTTACGTTCATGTTTCATTTTCCGTTTGATCGAAAGCAATCAACGCAAAAAAACACACACAATGTATAGGAAACGTTTTGTGAAGAGAACGAAAGAATGAAGTGAATCTCGCCGTTTAATCGACGAATCGGTGCTATATTATTTTGTTTGTTGTGCGCTGGATGAGCTATTTTATATGTAGCAAGCACTGCATTGTGCATGTCTCTTTCTCTCGTTCTCTTGCAGAAAATCAAAATCCACGCAAGCCGATTGATGACACAATACACACTCTATGTGTAAAATAATTACGTTCAAACCAGAGAGAGAGAGAGCGAAAGAAAAATAAAAAAAGTAGTAAGCACATTGAAGGGTTCACACGTTTAAAGGTCTCCGCGTTCCGTTTTTTCGTGACTCTAATTCGATACTCTTTGAAGCAACTCTTTTTTTTAGTCACTCGGTGTGTTGTTTTTTTCTTCTTTTCAACTTTTTCTTATTATTATTTTTCGTATATATATATATTTTCTTCATTGGCTTTTATTGATTAGATGCTAATCTTTGTTGAGGTGGGTCAACAATAAAACCATAAAAAACCGAGCCAAAACTACATATATTATACTGTGTGCATTTCGTAAAGATACAAAATGAATACACGTACTGCCGTCATCGATACGGTTTTCATTTTCTTGTCTTGTCTTGTCTTGTCTTGTTATCGTATACGTTTCTTTTTTACTCATTTATACATATGTATGTATTTCTCATACATCGCTGATTTCACCCGGCACACCGACTGCATGAAAATGAATTTCATTCGAAATGTCACTCTTTTTTTGTGTATATTTTTCAGTTTTGTCTTTCTCTCTTTCTTCTTGACTATATTTCACCAACTACAACAACAACAAACCAGAAAGGGTTGATGATGATGAAAATTACAGCATTTATTTCGCTCTCTTGTCACTGGTCACATCATTCCACTTCTTTGTATATAGATATATATTTATATATATTTCACTTTGGATTTCTAAACGAGAAGCCGACTAAACACGGTCTTCGTTTGGTTGCGCCTATGTCATGTCACTCAAATTTAGAAACGGCATACAGGTCGGTTCTTTTATTAATTGAAAATTGCTTCACTTTACATAATAATACGAAACTGAATCCTTTCAAGGCCAATTAAAAATATACATATCATTTCACAATGTAAACGGAAGAGACTCGTACGGCAACAATGTTGCTTCGTTCGATGTCACACAACGACTGGTTTAATGATGTTGATGATAATTTTTGCAAACTGAGAACGAGACCGAGAGAGAGAGAGAGAGGGAGAGAGAGAGAGAGAGAGAGGAAGAGAAGAAGAAAATCATATAGACTCTGCTGATGATTTCAACATAAATCAAATCGTTTGTCATACAACACTTTGTAAATGAGAGCACAAGAGACAATTTTTTTTTTCTGTCAAAGATGTTTGTGTATTCATTTTTTTAAAATTCATCTTCTGTTTTTGCTCGTTTAACTCTGTCGAGATTTTAGTGCATACCCATACCCAATGCAATTTTATATTTACTAAGGCTTGGGCTTACGTCATAAAGTTAATGAAAACGCGTATTCTTTTGTTCTATTCACACACTGCGATCTAAATGAAGAGAGAGAGAAAAAAAACTCACACAAAAATTGACGACGACGATGAAATAAAATAAAAAGAAATGAAATACACAGCCAGCGCTAAAGACACTCGAAACAACTGAAAGCAAAAAAAGGCAACAAAAAGCTGAAGCACACAGCTCACGCTACGTAGAAAATGTGTGCAGCACGAAGAGTTGAAAAATGAAAGAAAAGTGTATCTAGGATGTAAAACATGAAGTGGATTCAGATTCGGTGTGTTCGATTTACATGAATATACACTCTCTCTCGCGGTTTATGCACGAAGCACACAGCACATCACATCACATCATACACACACCGTTCGTTCTGTCGCTCGTTGTCGCGCGCGTTCATTTTCGAATATTATACAGCATATATCGGCACGTATTATATTGGCCCATACTCGTTGTCTCTATCTCGTTCTCTGTCGCTCATTCTGTCTCTATTGAATTTCAGTTTCAGTTGTTTAGTGTGTTACGGTTCGACAGAGTGTATGGGCTATTGCTCGTTGAGTCTCTGCTGTTGCTATGGCATGGTTATATGTGAAAAATGCATGCATATAAAATATGTACTTGAAACTATAGAGTGAAAATACCGCGATGAAGAGAAGAGAAGAGAAGAAGAAGAAAAAACCCATACACGAGCGGCTTCACTGAGCCGAATATAGGAAAAATACAGTGTGAAATTGAGTTGCACACACAAATACAAATGCATATCATATACACAGATGGATATAGATAGAATTTTATATCTATATGTATATGTACATGCATGTGCATGGAAACAACGCATATCCACCGACTTCGGCGAAAATGAAGAGAGAGAATGAGAGCTTAAAATACCGATTCCAAAAACTAATACATGGTGGCACATTTTTTCTTTCATTCGGACAACTTATTTGAACGGTGCTAAGTTGTTCGCTCACAGTTTCTCACTCCTTCCTCGTCTACATACTGAAGACTGTATTACATATGGCCAATGTAATGTGTATAACATGTATAACATGTACATTCAATATGCTTGAAACCAACACCATTTACTGTTGCCATCCCATTCTTTCATTTTATTTGCTTTGCACATTTTCTTACGGCATCTATCTATCGCCAAAATGCCGAACACACAACCATGCCGAACACACATATTTTCCATCCATATTTGGATTCTATACCACCACATTAGGGTGTGACGCTCTTTTTACAACATATCGGACAATTTTACGATACTAATTGCTTTGGGATTTCTAAAGAGGATTATAAAAGCTGACTTTTACGAGTAGGAAATGATAATTATTGACTTTAAGTAAAAAAAAAAGATATGGTTTTTAAATTTCAAGGCTTATTTTCCATAATGGCTTTTTACTATGAATAATATAATGGTCGACGAAAATCTTCTTTTACGACCGAAAAAACTACAATAATTTTTTTTTGGACATTGTAAATTGAATAAAGGCAGAATAAAAAATGTTATGAGCTCAATTCACCCTAATTGTACATATTGTGTGTATGATACAGGCTGGCTGGCGATTGCCGAGTGTCGTTGCATAGTATCATCTCTTCGTATACGTATATATTACGATGTATAGAAATAAAGATGGAACGTTGAAGCGATATATTTTTACATGTACACACTACAATTCGGTATTTCTCTTTCTCTTTCATGCTCTCTGTTTCGTTCTTTCTCTCTCTATCTCTATCCGTGCGCGCGTTTGCACACACAATCATATTACGTATATGGCATGTAGCACATTCACAGCAAAGCGCGCTTTCGTTTAGCGCTTCGATTCGGTACGTAATATAATGGCATTTAGTTGATTATTAAGCACTCTGTCATATCAAGAGACTTAAGGGTATTGTATGGATGTGTGCGTGTGTGTGTTTCTGTGTGAATTGTGAACTGTGTCTATCTATCGTGAATCTCAATATCATCGAATTTCCATCGGTTTGGTTTTGGATAGTCCCTTTTCGCTCACTCAACTAATGGAACCGAAACAATGTGAGAGTGAGCGAACGAGAAAGAGAACGGACAAGCATCAACCGTTTTGTGTTCATTCCTATGTTTGCAAACGAATGTAATACTGATCCGTAATGTGTGTATGCGTGTGGATGCCATTGATGTTTTATTGCGATTGTATGCGTATGCGAGTTGGAGCATGTTGAATCTATTATATCTGCTGCTGCTGTGCTGCTGTGTTGCTCAGAGAATCCGAGTTAAATTCAAAGTAATATTAATTAAAAAAAAAAAATGTAGCGGAGGAGATCCGTATGACCGAAGCCAACCAACACCAGAAAAAAAACAACACCAAAATCGAAAACTATATCCGACGTGAAGAGGAATGTCAAAATGAAACTCCCGATAAATTTTCATTATGTTTGCACCCGCTTTGACATTGAAATCAGCCCATACTCTTTTTTTTTTGTCGGACAGTTGACCAAAAAAAAGGTGAAAAACGTATTTTATTCTTTTTTGGCATGTAATTTATACTCTTTTTTCTCATCTCTTCTTCCTCTTTTGACATTTTTTTCGATACTTCGGATCGTTCTCTTTGCTTGCCTCGGTTGTCTCTTTGGTCGGTTCATTATTAATAAGTGTTGCTTTGGGAAAAAGTATTTGATTCACAACATCGTTTTTATTTTTTTTCTTCTCTTTTTCAATTCAATTTTAAAGCGGACGAACACATTTTGTGTGCACTTGGCAATGAACAACATTTGCATCGTTTTTTTTTGTTTTAAAAAAAGAAAATGAGAATTTAAATGACAAAATGGCAAGAGAATGATAAAGAGAGAAAGAGCAAGCGAAGGAGAATTAGCAAATTGCTGTGATGATGAAGTGAGACAAAATAGCTTTTAACAGATTTGGGCCAAATAATCCATAGTAGAATTACAAGAGCATACAGCATTTTCATATATGTACAAATGCGCGATCTTTTACGAAAGAATGAACGAACCCAACGCGCTTATGCTTCAAGTGTGTAAGTATGAAAAAGGAGAGACAGAGAGAAAGGGAACGAAAAAAATAACTATAAGAATGGGTAATAGGCAGTAACAGCAGCAAATGAAACAACCACAGAACACACACTGACACAACATCGTCAAAATGAATAAGAAATATAATGAGTGATGCAAGTTGTAGGAAGTCAAAATATACTATCTTATAAATGCATTTTACGTACTAAGAGCGACCGATTATATACGTATCATATGTAAAGTATATACATATACCCAAAGAGAACAGCAAAATGTACATTTAAAGCCGAGCGGCGTATTATATACAACAGCCATGTTAACAAGAACATCGAGCAAATGAAAGAAAAAAAACACATAGCACACGACGGAGAAAAAAAAACACACAGGCAGAATGGAAGGAAAGGAAAAAAGTATAAGTTATATTTCTTACCCGTTTTCAACCGAATGCGTCTTGTTATGTGAAGGATTTTTATCGGTGACTCTTAAATGTCTAGATTGCATTCAATTTTTCGTTCATCCATTGTTGAACACAATTTGTGGTTTTCTATTCACCGTTTGAAAGTAAATTACTTCATTTAAATCTGTCACATGATTCGAAACTCGATGAAAACTAAGAAATTCCAGTGGAGTTTCGATTCCGTGTTCGCTTTCTGTTTCAGTCCGGTCACATTGGCAGAGTGAAGACTCCGTATTTCACGAAAACCTAACATATATTTTCCATATTTAATTCACGATTCAAAAAAAAAAAACATATCAATTTGTTCAACTTAATTTCATTTGGAAAACTGTTCGTTTCACAAAATCCAGTCGAAATAAAATGATGAAGAATAAAACGGAAAAATACACAATCGGCAATGAAAAAAATTTCTTTGCTCTCTTTTACACACACTTTTGTTTCATTTGTACACACGACTTTTCGCTTAGTGTTCGTGCAACTTGCATATATGTATATTGTGTACACCGTCGTGTATGTTTATGTTATTATTATTTTTTTTTTGCTGTGGAAATCGTGTGTCTTGGTGCCTTTGATTATAATTATATGCACAAAATGAAATAAAAATAAATCAAACGCACTTATATACACCAGTGTTCGAGGCAATCGTATCGCACTCACTTGTAACAATTTTTTTTTTGCAACGAACAGTGCTCGTTATTTAACCATGTGTGCAACGCTATATATTCGCGTGTATGTAATAATGCATGGCGTGTGTATGATTCCTTATTCTTGTTTTTTTTTCTCTTTTTTAGTGAAAAACTTAGGCTTTCAAGTCTCTTTTGTTTTAAAATTGTTTTCTCCTTCGTTTTATTACATTGAATTCACTCTATTCATTGTGTGACTTTTTATCCTTTCGATTTCGAATCTATGGAAATTGCTTCGATATTTCTTCGTCGAGGATTAAAAAAAAAACAATATTTTTTTTTGCATTTGAATAACACTGCACGCTAATTCACGGCATGTATATCACAATTGATTGGAAAATTTAAACACAAAAAAAAACTGTTTTTATGTCGATTTTCCGATTTCTTTTTTTTCGTACCGAAAAAAATGTTCACTTTTTTCCTGTGTCGCTACTTTTTTTCGTTCTCATGTCAAAGTCAATATAGTATAATTTTCTTTTTTCGTTCATCGCACGGAATCGATCAACACATATATAAAAGCGCACACAATTTCTTTTACTTTTTTCATTGCTTCTTCTTACTTTTTATACTATACATAGGTATGTATAGTTCTTCTCTCTCTTTCTCGCTCTCTTCGCTTCAATACTTTTTTGTGTGCTATGAAATTTTTACGTACGATTTTAACTCAAATTAAATCACACAATTTGCTCACATTTATTTGACATCGATTTTCAAATGCAAACACTGACTAATTTATATATTATATGGACCGATTTTCAAATCCTACACTCATAAAACTTGACCCGAACGAAATGTGAAAAAATTTAGTATAAAGAAAGAAATCAAGAGTTCTTTTGCTTTCATCGAATATATAAAAAAAAAATTCTTTTTATTTCACAATTGATAATCACTTTTTTTTATCACGATTGATATTTAAATCAACAATTTGTTGTTAATCATTCATCGAATAACTAAGTCACACTACAAAAAATGTAATTTGTTCCGATTTTTTTGTTGCCTATGATTCGACCCTATGCTGAAATTTTTGTTCAGAAGAGCTAAAGGTTTTTTTCTCGAGAGCTGAACTTTTTTTTCGTGAGCATAGTCTATACTGACGGTGCCCTCTACACTACTACAATCATCTGGCCTCGTTTTTTTCTTTTTCTCTCAGGTCGATTTATACACACTTACACTTTAAGAGAGTACAAATGAACCATATGTTTTTTCGGTGTAAAATGCACGCCAGATGGCATCACAGGCAACTGTCAAATCTAGTCAAGCATGCCATTTCGGAGGCATTTTTTAAACAGGTGATTTTACATGGCATATCATTGAACGAACGTATTAATCAAAAATTAGGGCAGTTTATAATTTTTTTGGACGTTTTCTTTGTCAGAAAAAAACAAAATATTCGCATATTATCTTATTTTCAAAGATTTGTTTGGAGATTTGTGAATCGAATCATTTCAAAAATGAAATTTGACATTAGGTTTTGGTACATGTATTATATATGATAAACGACAAGTTTTACCAATGATTCTTACATCATTGTGGGCTTTCTGGAAGCCGTCGATGGTTTTGTCTTTGGATCGTAATTAAATAACTGTCTCTGTTTCAAATTAATGAACCCAATATGTTGTCAACATTTAAATTCGATATAAGCAGCTTTTATTAATTCTAAAAGGTGTAAAAAGTGGAATAATACA